CTAAAAATATCGTAGAAGAATTTAGAAAAATAATTATATATATTATTTAATAAATAATATGTCAAAATTATTCTAAAATATATAGGACCTATAGCTTATATAGCTAATATAAGGCCTTTTAGATGCTGAGAAAGGCTCATTTTTTGAGGCCCTCGGTGGATTAAAAAACAGAAAAAAGTTAAAAAAAAATCGTATGCTTTTAAATAAAATTTGATGAGAAATTAATTTGTAATATTTGTTTCGAGGCCCCTCATAAATTTAAGGCCTGTATCGAACGACCTTTATCTATCTTAGAGTTCTCAAATCTTGTTAAAGGATTTTTAGAATAAAATATAAGAAAAAAGTCAGAAAATATAATAAATATTATTTAGAAATATAGTCTTAAAAATTATTTTTTAAACAAAAATCCATTTATCCAAGATCCAACAAAAATCCAAGATAAATGATGAAGTTTACAAGAATATAAATACACTAAAAATCTGTAAAGTTTATACTTAGAGTAAAATTAATATAAATTTATTATAAATTCGGGTTGCATATAACCATATAAAACGGAACTATAAGTTAGCATTAATTTTAATTATACATTAATTCAATTAAACTGACTAAAACCATTGCAATAATATAGAAATGTATTTATAAGTTATAGGAACTAAATGATATTAGAAACCGTTATAAATCTATGTATATTGTTTGATAAATTTATAATTTAAGTATTAATATAACAAGGATAACTAATATTGCTCGTTTATGTTCGATTATTATTCATATATTGAACATTTCCATGAATTAATAATAAGTAAAGGTTACCGTTTGGGAATTCAATATGCCTTTAAATTCTCAAAGCAATATAATCAACTTAATGAGTAATTAACACATTTTAAATAATTGGAATTGTCTCCTTTCCTCACTTTTTATCACTAACTGCAATTATTTTAGTTATTTTAGTGATTAGTGAGCTTTACTTTCACCTTAAATAATTATTAAATTTAATATTAGTGGAGGTAAATTGAGAGTATTTGGGATCAAAATAGATAATATATACAGTACATCATTTTATAAGAGTTAATTATTTGTATAAGGTAGCTTAAGTTTAAGGATGAAGATGAAGATAAATGTATTGATATCATTTTCGTCTTCCCCGTTTTGTGTTGGGCCAGATTGGTTTAATCCTTTCATCCTTTCCTATTTGTAATTTATTGGTATACTTTTATGTAAACAGCTTATTTAATTCGTAGTTAACATAGTGAATAGAATAAATTACTCTAAAAGATATCTTCTAATATAATTTATTCTATTGAATATGTTAACTACACGTTAGTGAATAATTAACGAATGCTTTTAAAAATGATTCACTGATTGATTGTTTAGAAGTAAATATGTTAAATATTACATTCTTATATAAACAGCTTATTTATTTAATTTATAGTTTACATATTGAATGGAATACTTTATGCTGGAAGGTATTTTCTAGTGAGTGACATGGCATTTGTGTTTGCTGTATTTTCAGTACTTTCGTTACATCAACAGGAAGTGCCCGGAGCCCTCAAACGAAGTATACTCTCGCAATTCGCAACTCAAGAGAAACGAGTAGTGGTGTATTTTCCGTCCAGACCAATTTCAGACCTCCCTCTTAGCGTGCGATTGGAAGAGTTACTCACTCAGGTATATTGAGAATTTGCATATAATAGCCTTATACTATAGAAATCTTTATTTTATTCCGTGTATTTAGGCTTATAATATCATTAAAAATTACCCCAAAAATTATAAACATAAAAATCTATAAATGGCAGAATTATTCATATAACAGAATGTATAATTAATTCATTTTCTTTTAAATAAATCAAAACGTAATTGTTTTAAAGTAAATTGCAATTAAATGAATATAAATTTTATAAATATCTGTTTAAAATTCATATATTAATTAAATTTTTCACGAATAATAAATGACTTTAATTAAAATACGATAAGAATTCTTTCTAATTCGTATTATATTTTAATAATAATTTTAAGTAGAATACAGAGAATGGTTTA